CAGGGATTTCGCCAGCGGATTCATCGCCCACCTGAGCGCCCCCCCGGGACCCCCCTCGGGATCGGGACCCCCCCCCGGTACCGCGGCACGGGGGGGGGAGGGGCTGGTATTTGGGGAGGGGGAGGGGGGCACGGGGATTTTTGGGGGGGTCCCCTCATTGTCCCTCCTCCCCCACTTTTGCAGCCCCCCCCGGGATCGGGGACCCCCCCCGGCCGGAGCCGCCCCCGGACGAGGACCCCGAGGCAGAGACCCCCCCCATCTATTTCCGGTGGGACTGGGGACACTGGGGAGGATGGCGCTGTCCCCGAGCTGTCCCCGGGCTGTCCCCGGGCTGACAGCGCCGTCCCTGTCCCGTCCCCTGTCCCCTCTCTGTCCCCTCCCCTGTCCCCTGTCCTGTCCCCTCTCTGTCCCCTCTCTGTCCCCTCTCTGTCCCCTCTCTGTCCCCAGTGAGTTCCGCTTCACGGCCGATGTCCCCGTGTGGCTCGACTATCGCGGCAAGCGTGTCACCATGGAGCAGGTGACAGGGCCGGGGGTGACACTGTCCCCTCGCTGTCCCCTCGCTGTCCCCTCGCTGTCCCCTCACTGTCCCCTCGCTGTCCCCAGGGTGCCCTGGCCGGGATCCTGATCGGGCTCGCGCGGCTCAACTGCTCCCAACTGCGGCTGAAACGGCTGTGCCACCGCCAGGGGTGGGACACGGGGACAATGGGGACAATGGGGGGACACTGGGGGGACACTGGGGACAATGGGGGGACACTGGGGGGGACAGTGGGGGGACACTGGGGACACACTGGGGGGACAATGGGGACAGCATTGGGGACACGCTGGGGACACTGCTGGGGACACTTTGGAAACATTTGGGGACACTTTTGGGACATTTGGGGACACTTTGGGGAGGGTGGCAGTGCCGGGGGTGGCTCGGGGGGTGACGCCGTTTTTGGGGTCCCGTCCCCCCCCCCCAGGAAGCCGCACCCCCCACTACGGCTCCCAGACCCCCCTGCATGACGGGAGCAGGACCCCGGCCCAGAGCGGGGCCTGGGACCCCAACAACCCCAACACCC